TACATGTGACCTTCACATACACCAGATCTCTCCTCTCCAATAGGACCAAAGCACACATCTCACACACGTTCATCGCATGCACACAAACAGGAAGAGGAAGACAAACGCAGTCACGTCACCATGAAACTTAACATACAAGCTCACTACTAGCTAGACTGTTTCCTAACTCACATGCTTCAGCTATCATGTGTTAAATTTTAAACTGCACATAGGAAAGGATCTGAATTTGGGAGTACAGTGTATCTAGATATTGCATTAGCAGCAGACATCTTCTGAAAGGTTGTTCATAGCTGGTGTCTGCTGCCCTCTTGCTGTTAATTTGGTTACAGGACTGTTATGAACAAATGCTGACACTAGACAATGTCTCGCACATTCATTCATCGCTGTTCATGTGAGAACTCAAACAAAGAGCAGATGTAAATGTCTGTTGACCAAGACGTTTTCATGCTTTTTTATTCCAAATGTGATAATTATTTTAAAAGCAACTATATATTTCCATGTAAAAAGATGAATTTATACTCTTTGAGAAACACTGTATCATATAGAAAAAGCTTGTTATGAATAGGAATATGAATACAACAATATATGTTGGTAAATCAAATCATTTGAAAAATGCTAAATTAAATAATTGTCTTTTATATCGTCACCGTATGAAAAACAACTGAATAATCTAAAAATAATGAAGTTAAATGTGAGTAGAAAGGAAAAACTCCAAAGAAAAATAGAAATATGAATATGGCAAGGAAGGAAACGTAAACACAAAATTCTCACAAACTACACGCTGATTAAAAACTATAAGTGTCAATTAATCTAATGTTTTTTTTCTGTAGAAAGCAAAATGAAAATGAAAAAACAACAAGGTAAATGTTAACATTTATTCGTTTTCTAACTAAATTAATAGTTCACTCACTGAATCATTTACTCACTCTTATGTACATTTACATCTATACATTTAGCAAATGTTTTCCTGTCATGTAATTTCAGTCCCATTTTTCCCATGTTTTGAGGATGCTCATCCTTCTTTTTTCCATACAACGAAAGCAGACAGTAGCAAAGTAGTTCATGATATCCATCTCCTTTTGTAGTCTACAGAAAAAAACGGTGAGTTTCGGAACAACGTGAATGTGAAGTAAATGATGACAGAAGTTTAATTAATGGGTGAATTATTCCTGTCAGTGTTGATTCTTTTTCTGAGGGCATAAACAAAACACACAAGTTCCCTAAAGGTACAGCAAGTACAACTGTGCACGGGCCACTTGAATGAAACCAATCAGGTCTTGCAGGACAGCAGTTCTTGCTTTATGACCAGTCACTATATGCACTAATGGGTGTTCAGCCTGAGTGGCAATAGCCTTTCTTAGTGAATGATGGCCTGATAAAGTACAATAAAATGGACATCACAGGAGCTTACATTATCAATTGAGGATAAAAAACACATTGGAAAAAAATGATTTCACATGGGTAAGATTGTGTCATCAATTTATAGTAAAAATCCAAAACATACATAATCAACCAAAATATACGACTAATACTAGGGCTGCACAATTAATCGAATTTCTAATCGCGATTACAATTATGGATGCCACAATTACGTAATCGTTCAAAGCGCCAATTAATCGTTTAAATTCCACTTATGTTATTCTGCGTGCTTAAGATGCGTTTTTTTCTTTCTACATGTTATCTTAAGGTTTTTTCCCATTATTTTAATTTTAGTTTTAGTATAACATTATACCATTCATATTTTTTACTTTTTTATAATTTAAAGAAGAAACCAATCTGATGTTTAGTTGACATTTGAGGAAAAGCACGAAAAGTTTTTCAGTTAGAGTGTTTTCAGCTTGTTTATTTTTATACAAAAATACGGCATGCAGTTGCATAAAACAATGGTGTTTATACCATTGTTTTATGCAACTGCATGCCGTATTTTTGTATCATTCATTCATATCATATCAGTCATTCAGTGTAAATTGTGATAATCGTAATTAATAATCGCAATTACAATTTCAAGGTTTTGACATAATCGTGCAGCCCTAACTAATACTGTGAGTCATGGTTGTGAGAATGTAAATATAGATTAAAATTACTATTAAAGGAATGCAGTAGTAGCATGCTGTTGATTACCACAGAAACTAATTTTGTGTAAGAAGTAAATGATTTGTTTTCAGTTCAGGCAACATGAAATTAAATTTGAAAATTTTGACATTACAATAAGTTACCCTTCCCACATGTTTTATGTTTGCATGTATTCTCTGACCTTCCTATCTTATGTACTCTCAGACAGGCACTTGTCGTGCAAGGACAACTTTCAAAAACAAATTATATCTAAATTTCCCAAATTTGAATGAAACGAGAGTTCAGAACCTCACTGGACCAAAACAGGAACTTGCAACAGGTTTGCGGTTAAAAAAAAAAAGTTACATGTCCAAGAAATCTGTTTAAAGCTATTTTTAATTGACATCCAAGATTACACAAATGGGAATATTTATTTAAGTGTAACCCTGGTGCATGACTTTAAACATAATCCTAATATAAATTTAGTTCTACTCTATTTGAATTGCAAACAGAAAGCTAAACAGGGTAGATGATGACAGGTCTGAGATTTGATTTGGGGCACCTTAATATCTCATTATGGTCTAAAGAGTGTAAAGTAAG